TTTGGAATGCCATCTGGCCCGGTTGAGTTTTTAACATCCAGATTCAGCAGTAAGTCTAAAATGCCATTTTCGGAAATGACTAAGTCTGGAATAGGTGGGAGCGATATTGAAAAATCAGGAAGGATGCCGTTATCACAAGTAAAAACAGACTTGAAGTGGTTGTTGAAGGTGGAACAAACTATTTCTTCATTGCATGTTCTTTGGCCGCTTATCGTGAATGAGTCAATCGAGCGAGATGTTGGCGTGATCAGCCTCCAAAATTTCTCGGGTGATGTTTTGATAATAGTTGGAAGCGATGTTTCATGGTATCTTTTCTTGTCGCGCGCAATTGGCAGTTTTAGTTCGCCCGACAGGTTAGCTATCAGCGGTGTATAAGCAGCTTTATCATGAGATTTCGCTCTTTTGCTTTTTATTCGTTTAAGTTTTCGCTGTAAATGTAGCGTTTCTCTTGTAATCCAGGGGTTCCGGCATTCAGTTTTTTTAACGATTTTCGGTATGAAATGCTCCACGCATTCAAAGACACTATCCTTAAAAGTAAGCCACAGATAGTTCACACTGCTACCCGCGTGTTTAAAATCATCGTAATGAAAATCAAGAATATCCAGAATGGATTCATCGTCAGCTCGGGAAAAATTTGGAAAGGAAATTTTTGTACAGCAGCGATCAACACACATATCTAAAAAAGTTAGCAAAACAGCCCTGTGATCCGAAATACCGCTGATGACTTCACATATTGCCGTGTTTTGGATCGAGCCACTCAAAAAGAATAAGTCCAAGATAGATTTTGAACCATTTAGTTTTCTAGTGTATTCTTTAACAACCTGCAGTAAATCGAACGAAAAACAATATCTAGCATTTCGTGATTAGCATTGCAAGTAGAATGAGAAGAAAAATTTTCCCAGACAATATTAGGCAAGTTGAAATCTCCTGACAGGATGAGTTTGTCATGTGGCTTTATATTTTGCCGCAAGTAGGTTCTAAGCTTATCCAGAACATTATCAGAAGAGTTCGGGGGACGATAAACCGCACCTATATAGACTTTGCAAAATATGCCCTCAACTTCTAATATATCAGGCAATATTTGCGGATGTAATGAGTTCTTGAAAAGTATCGCAACTCCTCCTCCTCTTCGGTCGCGGTCCTTGCGGAACACGTTATAGCCTTTTGGGACGAATTCGCTATCAAAAATTTCACTGCTTAACCACGATTCAGTAAGTACGGCTACATCGGCATCGTGCGACAGTATGAGACCCTCAAGCTGGACTGATTTGTTCACAATGCTGCGGCAATTTACGTTTAAGATAATGAAAGGCGATTTCGTTTTGTTGTGAAGTCATTCGGAATTTCCGGAAACCTTGTAATGCTTGCCTTTTTTTTCGTCCCATCTGTATATTTTCTTGTCAATGCTTAGCTTATCAAAAATCATCTTAACCTTACTACCAGCTTCTCTTTCTTCTGCAGAACTCTGCCAGAGCTTTTTTCGAATTTCCCGCACTTTCTTAGAAAAATCTTCCGAGACCGAAAACGGTGTTCCTTTTAATTTTGGACACGACTTCAAAATCTCTACCTTGTCACGATAATCTAGGAGCTTAATTATAACCGGGCGAGCTTTCTCGTTCTTTTTGCCAAGTCTGTGGCACCTTTCGATACCGCTCACCGAGATTTTAAGCTTCTCTTCGGAAACATTCGTTTTCATCTTCTCGACAAGTGTTTCGGGTGTTTCAGACGGGTCTTCATCGATACCGTACAGAATTAAGTTATTTTTTCTACTCCTATTTTCTAAATCGTCAACCTTTCCCAAAAGATACGACACGTTTTTTTCTAGTCTCCCTACAGTATCCTTTAGTGCACACATATCAGTTTTCAAAGCATTTATTGCAGACAGCTGAACTTAAGACCATTTAAACGCTCTGTAACTGACGTGATATCTGCCTCAAGTTTCGTTTGCTTACTCAGAATTTCATTGATAGATGCTGTCATAGCAGTTTGACCAGAAAGAAGTTTAGCCAACATTTCCTTCTCGCCGGGGCCAGGGTTTGATTCAACGCCTCCGCAAATCAACAAGTTCTTAGCAAAAGTGCACACATCGAAATGTAAATTGAGAACACACAGTGGGCACGGCAGCAGAAAAAAAAAGCGGTCACCGCTACGGTAACATTTGCCATAAGAATAGGGACTAACCTGCAGCGTACAAAGAAATGGATTGTTGAGCATCTTGCCCGTCGTGCTGCTGCCGAGCCCACTGGAGGGGATGGCTGACGTGAGGCAATTTATACGGGCTGGTAGGACCACGTGGCAGTCCGTTCCTGAGGCAGGCGCCAGCGCAAAAGATACCGCAACCGGCACGATGAATTCCTCCGCTTCACACCGGTCGCAGGCCACTTGATAAGCCTCCGTTGATGCTCTGCAGTCGACAACGCTGGACGAAGGAAACGGTAAAGAATCCAAAGCACAGCCGATGCTCCGAAGATTGCGACACAAAAAGTGAAGCAAGAACGTGCAGCGTACAAAGAAATGAATTGTTGAGCATCTTGCCCGTCGTGCTGCTGCCGAGCCCACTCTGACATACATTACCATCCATCACTATCTAGATATAGTCCTGGCGCTCTATGGACAACCATGACCCTTGCACAAGTAAACACAACACATCATCATCATCATCATCATCATCATCACCATCACCATCATAGTGCCTTCTGCCTTTGTCTCTGCCAATGTCTTTTTTCGTTTCGTTTCATTAAATCACTTAAACGCATATCATCTCTGTTGTTCTTCTCTGCCGTTTTGTGATAGTTGCAGCACTGCCATTTTTGTTCATTATGTTCCCACTAGCCACTACATGAGCTGTTCAGGTGAAATATGGTGCTAACTTAAGTAATACAAAGGGTCCCACGAATCTTATTGATCATGTGCGAGGGTCACTACCAAACACCAGACCTCAAGGTAAAGTACTTCTTGTGCAATCTTACGGGAACAATGGAGGAAACAGACATGGAGAGGCGCGAACTTCGAAATGACAACCACAAAATTTGTTTTTGTTGACTAGAGTATAAAGTTGGGCATGTTGGTAAGACATAGTTGATCGACGTAGCGCGTTTAGAAACATAGGACAAGGGAAGGGACAGAAGGGAGCGCTTACTTCAAACAAAATTTTTATTTCGAGGAGCGTACATATATAGGCTCACGAAATTCGAAGACAACAGATAAACAGATGAAAAATCCTCTATTGTTATGCGCTAAAAACTTATGATCTCAAAAACGACGATTCTTTTTCACAAAGACCGAGAGAAGGAGTACTGACGCAGTTCAGCCCTAATCTACTAATCTTTACTGCTTCAATAATCTCCCTTGTCACCTTGTTTCCTTTTTTCTTATGATTACCACACCATGAAAAAGTGGTTTGCAGCCACACGTGCTGCAATGTAGTGCAAAAAAACCATCTCGACCATTTCTTACGTTCGCTCTCACTTCTGGTGATTCCCTTGGCCCTATGTTTCTAAACGCGCTACGTCGATCAACTTTGTTTTTGTTGTTTTTACATATTTTGCCAATTTCGCTGTTTCTCTTTAAATTACTTGGTGCACTTCCTTTTTTTTCTACCTATTGTTGGACTGCAGCGTTATTTATTTCTGCCGCTTTGCAGCCTATGGGGCCTTCAATAAAAGCCAGCAGTATATGAAACAAGATGTATAAACAGAAATAAATTGATAATAAATCATGAGCTATTGTTGACCATGGAGTACTAGCTATACCCAACCATTACCTCGTTCACAACCACAGCTAAGGATCAGAGACGCTTCAAGTTTTTTCGTCACCGCAAACACATCATTGCTCTAGAGAGTGCAACTGCAATTCGCACGATGCGCAATCTTTCAAAGTGACTGATGCATTTCTTTCCCCCTCTTTCACAGGGAACGATGGCGGGATGATGTCCAGCACAAAAGCAGGGCTCTTTCTGAGTCGAAACCGTTCGCACCTGCCCAGACTCGCGGACCACCGCAATCACGCTCCAAGCCTGACAGCCCGGTGGAAGAATGTCCTGGAACTCTCACGCTGTTTGATGGTGTGTTCAAGCGGCCACTGCCGGTGTCCAGGAGGCCTCGAAGATTGCAGGCGCAGCGTCATGCTACGAGGACTAAGCCTCAGAGCTCTGCAGCCAAAACGAGCACTGTGCACAAACTGGAGCATATCGCGAGCGTTGGCCGGAATCACCACCAAAAAGTGCACAAACGGTAACACAATCGGTACTTATATGTTTAACATAGAGATACAAAATACTGAATTGAAGTGAACGAAAAAACGCCAAAGGCAATGGAGCTCGTTTAAAGGGACAGGTTTAACGCTCTTCAGGAACACTGTCCAAATTTAAGGTAATCCAGTTCTAGCATCCTGAGGCAGCCAGTCCGCAAATAAGCTCTTAGAAGCAATAAAACTTTCATTTTCAGTTACTTTTGCGGTGTAAGAAGCCCGAGAACGCTGGCTAACTGGTGGTATACCTTGCTGCCGGGTATAGGCTTTAGCAAATTGGTCCAAATCAGCCTCATTTTTCTGTGTAGCCACCATCCGGCAGCGCTCTCACTTCTGGTGATATCTATAGACTTTCCGCAAGTCCAATTGGCTGTTCATCTATCGAGCATTATGACATAGACTTCCGATAGATGACAAGCGAGTGTCGTAGCAAGGTATTGAGCCGTTTTCTTGTTGTGGCTTGTATAGTGGCTGCCGATGTACAGACTCTTCAACCGTCGACCACAGAGGCGACTGTCACGCCCGATGCGGCTACCTCAATCGCATCTCGATGGAGGTGAAATGGTATAAGGTCGTGTACTGTGCAATGTCAGTGCACTCTGTAAAACACTGAACGGTCGCAATTTCCGCAGTAGTCGCAACTAGTTGTTAAAACTGCATAGCAGGAGAGCTAGCTTTACAATTTAAAAAAGTCTCTTATGACCTTGCAATCTACCTGGTACTAACCTTCTACTATGTGCAGGCACCGGTGGCCTCCGTCTCACCTCAACTGAAGAGATTCTCCCAGTTTCTGCACCATAAGGCGCCGCGCGTCTTTCCAGAATGGCAAAGCTTTGGGCATTTCGTACTCCACATTCGTCGTGTCATTCAGGAAGTTCCTGCGAAGGATCTGGACTGGTGGTGTACCAAAACAGAGCAGGCGCCCTGCTGGCTCCTAAACTTCCAGGACGCCTTAGCCAGATTGTTGCTTCGATATGACATCGAGATCGCGGAGATTCATCTTGGAACCTTCTCGCTGCATCATGTCGACAGAGACTTTCCTAAGAGAGCCAACGCAGAGGCGATTCGTGACAGAGGCGCGTAAGATGGACGTGGAGTCCAAACGTAAGTGCTGTACATAATAGTGTTTGAGATGTAGTCCCCGACACTAATAGGAACTTTGAATGTATACGCAGAGGCCCAATGTTAGACAGGCCCCGGGGACGTTCACAGTTAATCATAAAATAGCTTCACCAAAGGAGCGGACTGGCGTATGAATCAAGGAAAAACATTTAAAAATCATTCAAGTACTAGCGTTGCGTAATTAATAAGATTTGCTGCATTCTTTAAGAAATTTCTTCCTCCGCACTGGCACACAGCTCCTCCCCGATGTGCCAAAGCTGATCGCCTAGTTGAGTGCGGTGTTTATTCTGGCAACAAGTCGAATGCACTGACAAAGTTGATAACAATTACCTTTTCGCCACTGGCTGCTCAGTGCCGCGATTACGGCGCGTAACATCAGGGAGGAACATTACGCCGATCTTCTTTTCCTTGAATACGTAATTTTGGAAACCGTGATTAAACTTTGCACTGGCATATCTCGGAGCAGACAAGCTAGAAAACATTTTTCTCTTGGAACTGTGCAGAAACACTACCACCTTCGACTTTTCATTACAAACATGCCCGCTTGCGGCTGCGACTTAAGAGTTCATTATTGCTTTTAGTAAATTTGATGGCTTGAAGTGACGAATACTGTCTCGCAATATATCCCCCTGGATACATATTGTTTTCTTCTGAGGTTTGTGTACTTCCCAGTGCTGAATGTCAAGATGGCCATTACGCTGAATATGAAACAGCCTGAATTCTCTGCGAAAGGTTTAGAGCAACCAAAATCGCAACCTATGGCGATACCAAAGTTGCCGATTAGATTTGGAGTGATCATGTTATACTTTGCTAAACTTCCACGCTGATGCTTCCTGGGAGGGGTCACGTGTGAAGATGTGCAAAAATTCTTGGAACTTCGAGTGTCAGTGGAGCCAACGTTTCAACAATCAATCTAGTTTTCAGTGTTGCATCTTCAATGTTTCAGCCTCGAAGAAGACAGGGTCGCTTGTTCGAACATTCACTTCCCCGATACTTCACCCATTCAAGCTTTCATCTCCTTACTGGACGGTTTCAGTGTCATCGATTGGTCATTCATTTTAACTACGTGTATCTATAATTGTAATAGAAGTTTCAATATAGGATTTTTTCCGGTACGACAACAGTGTCGCGGCACTGTTCTCATCACGAAATCAAAATGCCTCTACAGCTCTGAACACGTGTCCTCTTGCAGAGTTCCTCTACGAGCGAGAGTGTCTTATCACGTGGCTTCTGCGAGTGCACCGATGCATTCGTCGAGTGCGCCTTGACCTCACCGAGGTGGCCCAGTCTCCAGGCGCGTTCTGTCGGGGATATCGCCTCCACGAAGACTACAAGATTCTCGAACTGGGAGTCAGTGGGAAAACCCTGCCTAGAGGGCGCCGCCTCTTTCTGTTTCTCGGTCACGTGACCCAGCTCACCGAGCTGTCACTCTACGGACTGTACCTGATGCACCCAGACGACCATTGCCGCCTCGCCGCGCTAGTCGCAAGCAACGTGTTCCTGAGGAAGCTCACGCTAAAGAAGTGCCATATCGCCGACAGGTAATAACCGTAGTAATTGCTAGACCTTTACGTGCCGAACCCATGATGTGACTACGAGGGACGCCGTAGTGGGGGGTCCTGACAGTTTCGACCATTTGGGGTTCTTCAGCGTGCACCTAAATCTAGATTCACTGGCCTATAGCACTTTGCCTCCATCGAGTGGCAGCCATGGCAGAGATTCGATACAGAAACCTTTGAGTCACCAGACGTGTGCCGTAACCAGTATATAGACCACAGTGGTGAATGGTTGCCGACAGGTTACGCTCTTTTTTTCAGTAAGGGCATCTATTTACTGCGTACGGAAGGTTGGTCCAACTATATCTTATCCCTTCCTTCTTTCTGTTTAATTCTCATTCCCTCCTTCCCTGCGCATAACTGTTGAGGTGCCCTCCATTGAGAGAGGCAGTAACGGGACTGCGCTTTTTTCTTCCCTTTTCCTCTTTTCAAAGCCACTTCAAACTATAGCGTCCCCCTGGCTACCAACGACTAAACTGCATTGTTAATGTGGCTTTGCAATGCTTTTTTTATAATGAGCATAAAATACTGCCAATCGGTAGTCGAGGTTCTGGAAAACATGTGAACCAAGTGTTAGGATGCCACACGCGGCATGAAATCAACGATTTCCCTTTCAGGTATATATCACACTGTCTTTTTTACACTAATGCCAAAAGTCAATATGTCCACTTGTGAGGACAAATATTGGCGCACATTGACCATTTATGGTGTATGCGTAATTAGTGCTGCCCCCATGCTATGCATCGACATGCGTGCACTGAGCTCTATAGCATCAGAGTTGCGCATAATATAAAAATACATAAAGTGTACAATAACGCCAGCACACTCATGATCGAGAAAGTGCTCAAATATCGAGAAAGTGCTCAAAGTCATTACGTGCACTGAGGAACAGACGTATTTTTTTCCCGTGTCATTCGTCCCTGCGTCACTTTCAGCGTGCTCACAGGCACACATGGAAATCACTCATTTAGAGCGTGCGACACGGCCTTGCTATATATTCTACTCGTAGAAGACATACTTTAAAAATGTTCCCGGCAATCTATTCAAAAGGCAATAAACTGCAATGACGAATTCTTTGAAAGAAAGCGGGGATGTTGAACACTATTTGCCTAAGTGCACCGTGACCTTAGGAAAGATCGGCAAGGTTTATTCGAGTAACTGCAACATTTAGGGTTGCCGTGCGGTAGCGTGACTGATATTGTGTTTCCGTGTTGTCACAGGATTTTCGGGAAGGAGGTGTCGTGATGTCTCTTGAAATTTTCGAATGCTACAGACCTCGCGTGTGACTAGTGATGAGTGACAATTATGTTCTGGGTGTGGTGCAGTGAGTTCGGAATACCAGCACAATACTGCATGTGGAATAGCACAGGAGGCCACCAGCTTATGCAGGCTTACGTCGTCGTAAGCGCGAATTTTTAGGGCCTGCCTGTGCTTAGTTAGGAAACAAAAGGAAATTACATTAAATTAGCAATGAGGAAACCGGGCGGGGCAATCGCCTGCAAAATATTTAAGGCTAGATCCGTCGGCTGCCTACAACATTCTAATCCTAAGTCATTCAAAGATTAGTTCGAAGAGTGTTGCAGGTTGGCTCTGATTTATCAAAGGCACAACTCATTCACGAAAGAGAGAAGTAAATACTGTGGTTTAGTAAGAATATATTGTTATTCTAACTAAAGAAATTCCAACTACTCTAACGTTATTATTAACTAAAGATTTATGCGAATGCCTCAAAACAAAACTTTGGAAAAAACCATTTGGTGAAAATCGTTTTGAGGACTTTAAGCGCATTCGCTCGGTGAGGTGCGAAGCCGCTCTGTGCACCTCCAAGTAACTGACCAACTCTAGACAGTCCAGCAACCCCATGCAGACATAAAAAGGCAAGTCAGTGGCGTCGCGACATGAAATACCTGAGCCAGACCCATTATTCTGTCAAACAATCGTTAATTTTTTTTCATCTGGTCATTCACTATGCATTAAGCTCCTTAGAAAATCATAACTTTATTGGGAAGATACATTCAAAAATCAGGGTACAACTTAATGAATCAATACTCTGGATTTGGCTGTTACCATGGTTTTCATAGGTTGTGACAAAGAAAGTGTCTGGTGGTGGCGAGTTTGTCACAGTGGAGTTGTCTTAAATTAGGGACAAACTCTGCTGAAGGCTCACGACACGACGGCAAAATAAACCTTACTGTCCTGACGTAGACGCAGCCTGCGTCAATTTAAGGGTCACTCTTCAAGACCTGCACAAGCCTTACATACCGAAACTGTGATAATCAGGTAGACCATAATAATGAAATACTGCTTTTTCTACATATCAAGCTCAAACTACATGTGGTCTAAGAAAAATATATCAATATTTTTAAACGGTCCTCATGGCATCTGAAAGGTATATTAAATTCATTTTCAGAAACTTGGACGGACTTATTGAAGCGGCTAAGGGTCTGCCGCTCCTCGAGTGCTTCTCCATCTCTCTGCTTAATCCCGGATTGTGGTTCGAACGAAGCCAGCAACTGTCCCGACTCCTGGTCAGACCCGGGTGTAGGCGTGTCAAGCAGGTTCACTTTGACGTTCCATGCGACCTGAAGCTCATCTTTGAACGATTGGGTGAAAACGAACAAATCATCGGAGTCCAGATTTGTCGGAAGCTTACCACTCCTTCGGAGCTCATGGCACTCTGCGACCTAGCAAACGCAAACACTCATCTGAAGCACCTTTCTCTGCCTATTGACATGGAATCGACTCTTCCTACTCGCTATTATCAGTTCGTATTGAGCAAGTTTGTAGAAAAAGCCCGAATGGAAGTATTAAATTTGCAGAATTCATTCATCACAACGCGAGGCGTTAAAGCCATAGCGGAAGGCCTGAAGAGAAATGGTGCTAATGAGGATTCAGAACCCAATTTGTCAATACGGGCCACAGAGAATGAGCTTGTTCGACAACGATATCTAAAGGTACTACATATCAGAGGCGACCTTTCTTGCGAGCACCTTGATATTCTTGTGGACGCCCTGGACACCAACAGGACCCTTGAAGTTCTTGATGTCGGTCGAGTACTGCCTTCGTCATCAGTGAGTCACGCTGACGTGACGAGGAAGATTGTCGACCAAGCCTTGCGACAGCGTCAGCTCTCTGTATGCTCGCAGAGAACGAGCCCCGTGGCCACAGTACGTGTTAACAAAGTGTACTTCGGCGAAGACTTTCATCTTCTTATCATTGCCGTCCGCAACGATGTGGCATTCCGCAAGTTGAATCTCTCGTTTGGCGATTCCCTTACAGAAACGTTCAAAAGTCACTCGTTCGACTTCAGCCACCTTCTAGCACTGTTGCCCTTTTTCGCAGTGGCAGAGACGCTGGAGACATTGGAAATAGAAGTGTCTGTGCCCGGGACATATGACGTCGCTTTTCTGGGTGTCTCCCTTCTCTCAGAGACAAGTAACAGCCTGACTGAACTCAACGTGACTTTGGCGGACACGTGCTGCGAGTTCGTCTCCATCCTGTTGCTCCACGGGCTCGCCTCCGACATCTCGATTCGCTCGCTCACCATGAGTGGATGGTCACTGAAGCATCCGGTGCCGTTCTGGTTCTACCGCTTCTGCCTCATGAACGAGAGTCTGCGGAAGCTTCACATTCATGTCACCGATCTAAAATGAGTTCGCTCTGCGTCGTGTGTCTGCTGTCAGGAACTCCTTTTCGGAAAAAGGCCGCTTACTTAAAAGACTTTTAAGTGCCCGTGTGACAGGGGTATAACGTTATTATTAACTAAATATTTATGCGAATGCCTCAAAACAAAACTTTGGAAAAAACCATATGGTGAAAATCGTTTTGAGAACTTTAAGCGGGTTCGCTCGGTGAGGTGCGAAGCCGCTTTGCGCACCTCCAAGTAACTGACCAACTCTAGACAGTCTAACAAAGCCATGCAGACATATAAAGGCAAGCCAGTGCCGTCACGACATGAAATACCTGAGCTAGACACATTCTGTCAAACAATTGTGAATTTTTTTCTAATCTAGTCATTCACCATCCATTAAGCTCGATAGAGAATCATAAGTTTATTAGGAAGATACAATAAAAATCAGGGCACAACTTAATGAATCATTACTCTGGATTTGGCTCTTCCCATGGTTTTCATAGGTTGTGACAAAGAAAGTGTCTGGTGGTGGCGAGTTCATCACAGTGGAGTTGTCTTAAATTAGAGACAAACTCTGCTGAAGGCTCACGACACGATGGTAAAATAAACCTTACTGTCCTGACGTAGACGCAGCCTGCGTCAATTTAAGGGTCACTCTTCAGGACCGGCACAAGCCTTATCATACCGAAACTGTGAAAATCAGGTAGACCACAATATAAATACTGCTTTTTTTTACATATCAGGCTCAAATACATGTGGTCTAAGAAAGAATATATCATTATTTTTAAACCGTCCTCATGGCGTCTGAAAGGTATATTAAATTCATTTTCAGAAACTTGGACGGACTTATTGAAGCGGCAAAGGGTCTGCCGCTCCTCGAGTGCTTCTCCATCTCTCTGCTTAATCCCGGATTGTGGTTCGAACGAAGCAAGCAACTGTCCCTACTCCTGGTCAGACCCGGGTGTAGGCGTGTAAAGCAGGTTCACTTTGACGTTCCATGCGACCTGAAGCTAATCTTTGAACGATTGGGTGAAAACGAACAAATCATCGAAGTCCAGATTAATCGGAAGCTTACCACTCCTTCGGAGCTCATGGCACTCTGCGACCTAGCCAACGCAAACACTCATCTGAAGCACCTTTCTCTGCCTATTGACATGGAATCGACTCTTCCTACTCGCTATTATCAGTTCGTATTGAGCAAGTTTGTAGAAAAAGCCCGAATGGAAGTATTAAATTTGCAGAATTCATTCATCACAACGCGAGGCGTTAAAGCCATAGCGGAAGGCCTGAAGAGAAATGGCGCTAAGGAGGCTTCAGAACCCAATTCGGCAATACGGGCCACAGAGAATGAGCTTGTTCGACAACGATATCTAAAGGTA